TTGCGGGCACATCCCCAGTAGGGAGTGTGCAGGAGGCAGCTGATCGATGTTTCTAACTCTCTACCCCTCTCCTTTCCTCTCTGTAAAAAAATCAATAAAATATATTTAAAAAATAAAGATCTTGAATAGATATTTATACATCAATGTTCATTGTAGCATTATTCACAATAGTCAAAGGGTGGAAAACCCCCAAATGTCAATTAACATGTGAATAAAGTGATTATATATAGATTACATATATAATGTATACCCACAGAATGAAATATCTTTCAGCCTTAAAAAGAATAAAATCTTGTTAAATGCTATAACATGGATGAACATGGAGAGCATTATGCTAAGTGACATAATCCAGCCACAAATGAACAAATACTAATTAATCCACTTCTAGGAGATATCTATAATAGTCAAATACTTAGAGCAATTAGAATGATGGTTGCCAGTGGTGGGCGAGGGTAAAGAGGAGTTGTTCAATGTTTATAGAATCTGTTTTGGCAGATTAAAATGTTCTAGGTGCTGTTGAAAACCAGCATGCATATAGCTTACACGACTCTGCTGTACACTTACAAAGGTTAAGATGGTACATTTTATGTTATATGCACTTACACATACTATTTCAAAAAAATAAGTAGGCACCTCAATACAAAAATTAAAAAAAATTATAGACAGTATGACAATGGTTCATTAAGTAGAGAATATTATTAAGATAGAAATTATAAACAATAAATAAATGAAAATTCTGAAGTTGAAAGTACAAAAATTGAAGAGAATTAAAAAAGAGGGCTCAGACTTGAGTTTGCAAAAGACAGAATTAGTAAACTTTGAGATGTATCAATACAGATGATCCAATCTGAAGAAAAAATTAAGAGCACTGAACAGAACCACAGAGAATTGTGAGACACCAACATACATACTAACATACAGGTAAATGGGAGTCCCAGAAAGTGAAAGAGATTAAAAATACTTGAATAATGGCCAAAATTTTCCTAAACATGATGAAAAACTAACATACATATCCAATGAATTCAATCAAGTTCAAAAGGTGAACACGAAGAGTTCCACACCTAGACACATTATAGTTAATCTAATGAAAGCCAAAAAGCAAAAGAGAATCTTGAAAGCAGCAAGAGAAAAACAACTTATTACATACAGGGGAACCTCAATAAGATTAAAAACTGACTTCTCGTTAAAAACAGTGGGGGTCCTGGCCAGTGTGGCTCAGTTGGTTGAGCACTGTCCCATGCACCAAATGGTTGCCTGCTCGATTTCCAGTCAGGACACATGCCCAGGTTTTAGGCTTGATCCCCAGTAGGGGGTATGCATGAGGCAACCAATCAATGTTTCTCTCTCTGTCTCCCTTACTCTCTAAAAATAAAAATCAATAAAAACATAAAAGATAACCACCAGTGGAGGGTAAAGATATTTGGATAACATGCTTAAAAAGCTAAAAGGAATAAAAACTGGCTAAGTCTGTAACTAGCAAAACTACCCTTCAACAATGAAGATGAAATAATATTCCTAGATATACAAAACTGGCAGAATTTGCTGCTAGCAAGTTTTCCTTACAGGAAATACTAAAGGACTAAGAGAAATTGAAACCAGATGAAAACCCAAATCTACATGAAGAAATAAAGAGCATGGTAAGTATAATTACATAGGTAGACATAGAAGACAGTATCAATAACATTTTCTTGACTGATTTAAAAGCCAGCCACATAAAACCACCATTATAAAATTGTATTGTTGGGATTATAACATATAAAATATATATATAAAACTAGAGGCCCGGTGCACAAAAATTTGTGCACTGGGGGGGAGGGGGGGTCCCTCAGCCCGGCCTGTGCCCTCTCGCAGTCTGGGACCCCTCCGGAGATAACGACCTGCTGGCTTAGGCCTGCTCCCGGGTGGCAGAGGGCAGGCCCAATCCCTAGGTGCAGCCCCTGGTCAGGCTCAGAGCAGGGCCGATTGGGGAGTTGGGGCGCCGCCCCCTGTCATGCACAGAGCAGGGTGGATTGGGAGGTTGCGATGCCACCCTCAGTCACGCTCAGGGTAGGGCCGATTGGGGGGTTGGGGCACCGCCCCCTGTCACACTCAAGGCAGGGTCGATGGGGAGGTTGCGGCGCCACCCCCTGTCACGCACAGAGCAGGGCCAATCAGGGGGTTGGGGCACTGCCCTCTGTCACTCACAGAGCAGGGCCCATCAGGGGGGTTGGGGAGCTCCCCCCTGTCACGCACAGAGTAGGGCCAATAGGGGAGTTGGGGCACTGCCCCCTGTCACACACAGAGCAGGGTGGATCAGGGGGTTGGGGCGCCGCCACTCTCACACTCAGGGCAGGGCGGATGGGGAGGTTATGGCTCTACCCCGTCACACACAGAGCAGGGCCCGTTGGGGGGGGGGGGGTTGGGGCGCCGCACCCTGTCACACACAGAGCCGCAGGACGATCAGGGGATTGGGGAGCTCCCCCCTATCAGGCTCAGGCACAGAGCAGGGCTGATCAGGGGGTTGGGGCGCCTTCCCCTGTCATGAACAGAGCAGGGCGGATAGGGAGGTTGTGGCCCCGCCCCCTGTCACACACAGAACCGCAGGGTGATCAGGGGGTTTGGGCGCTGCCCCGTCACGCTGATCCCAGTGCCGAGAGGCCTCGTGGCTCCGCTGATCCCGGTGCTGGGAGGCATATTACCCTTTTACTATATAGGATAGAGGCCTGGTGCACGGATGGGGGCTGGCTGGTTTTCCCTGAAGGGTGTCCTGGATCATGGTGGGGGTCCCCACTGGGGTGCCTGGCCAGCCTGGATGAGGGGATGATGGCTGTTTGCAGCTGGTCACACACCCTTCAGGGTGGGAGTCCCCACTGGGGTGCCTGGCCAGTCTGGGTGAGGGGCTGAGGGCTGTTTTCAGGCTGGTGGGTGACTGAAGCTCCCAACCGCTCCTTTTTTTTTTTTTTTTTTTTTTTTTTTAATTCTGGGCCAAGGCCTCTGCTGCTGAAAGCAGGTATCTGGTTTGTTTGGGTTCTATAATCGAAACACTGTATCATCTCCAGCTCTGAGATCCTGGCCGGCTGAAAGCTGGTTTCTGGGGTTTTGTTTAGCTTCTATATTTGTTACAATGTTTCAAACTGCCAGCTCAGAGGCCGGCAAGGCAGGCGGGGAACGTTGGAGTCCTCCTTCACTGAAGCAAGCAAGCCTCATGTTCACTTCCAGCTGCCTGGCTGCCGGCCGCCATCTTGGCTGGCAGTTAATTTGCATATCGCCCTGATTAGCCAATAGGAAGGGTAGCGGTCGTACGCTAATTACCATGTTTCTCTTTTATTAGATAGGAAGGAGGATAGCACAGAGAGAAGAGGGAGGAATGGTTCTATTTTGGAGAAAGGAAATGACACTAGGCAGTAATGTGAATCCAGAGGAATGCCTCCTTCTCTTGAGAAATATACTAAATTAATCTTTCAATGGTGTTGTCACTCAGTCCCCTCCAAAAATTAAAATCCCATCCGTACAATCATTGATACAATAGAACACTCCACTGAAGGGCAGAACACACATTCTTATCAAATGCACATGGACCACTCTCCAGGAGAGCAATATGCCAGGCAATAAAACTAAGTTTGTGTTTTTACCACAATGGTGTTTAATCAGAAGTCAACAGAAGGAAATTTGGGAAAGCCTAAAATACTTGGAAATTAAACATACGTCTAAATAACCCAGGTGCCAAAAAAGAAATCACAATAACCATTAGAAAGTGTTTTGAGCCTCCCCCCACCCCAGCCCTCTTCCCCACAGGCAGAGTGCTAGTGCAGGAGACACCCACTGGTAGTTCAAAGGACACTATCAGGCTTGCAAACCAGGGCAGCAAATTCATCCCAAACAATCCCCCAGAACCTGACCCAAGGCCCCCCTTTTCTCTGACTTCTTAGTGAGCCAAAGCACCCCAACCTAGGCTCATTTCCCCGGCCCTCTCTTCACTGTCCCCAGCTTTAATAAACGTCCTCTAAAATTCACCTGGACTTGTGTTGTGAAATCTTTCCTGCATGAAGTCAAGAACCCACATACTACCAACTGGCCCTAAGCCAGGGGTGGGCAAACTTTTTGACTCGAGGGCCACAATGGGTTCTTAAACTGGACCGGAGGGCCGGAACAAAAGCATGGATGGAGTGTTTGTGTGAACTAATATAAATTCAAAGTAAACATCATTACATAAAAGGGTACGGTCTTTTTTTTTTTTTAGTTTTATTCATTTCAAACAGGCCGGATCCGGCCCGCGGGCCGTAGTTTGCCCACAGCTGCCCTAAGCAGACCCACCAAGGGCCAGGTCCCCTTCCCAGTAGCAGTATTGGAGACATCCACTGCTAGTGCAGGAGACACCCCCTGGTAGTGTAGGGGGGCACCCCATGGTAATACAGGAGATCCCACTAGTAGTGCAGAAGACACCTGCTGCTCGTGTTGGAGACACTCACTACTTGTTGGGACACATCTTTATAGCTCTTAGCCACTCTGAGGTATCAGCTACACGGGCAAAATCTTTCCTTTACTGTGGTCCATGCTGCACAGAAGTGAGGAGCTATCACAGGGTCCACTGGCTCAGTAGGTAAAATGCGTGGACAGAGCACCCAGCATGTGTGCGTGGTCATCAACTAAGCTCATTTCTTCTGTTACCTGGTGATGGTTGTGTGAACATTCCATCCCAAACTTCCCAGTTTGGCAACAGGATCATTTGAGCTAAAGGCAGTTGGTATGCAGATAGTAGAGAAGCTGCAAGTCCTCCCCCTGCCTAAAAGGACCGAGTCAGTCGCAGGAGACAATAAGATCCCTCAGCATGGGGTTGGCTCTGGGAATCTCCATAAACCCCCCAACCAGCCCCTACCCTGGTACTGCTTCGGACTGTCATTTCCCACAAACTTGTTCTTATTGCAGTGGCAGCAGAAGCCGGACTTCTAAGCTGCTGCTGGAGTTACTCATTTCCTCTGCGTGTCTCCCATGTGCAGGAGGTGCATGTGTTAATAAACTTCTTTTTCTCATTAATCTTTTATTACCAGGTTCCAGACAGGGATCGGATGGGTGGAGGGAATATTTTCCCTCCCTCACACTGGTGTCCAGCTTTGCTCCAAAGCCTTGGTTAGGTGTCCATCCTGCTGTTCTTGGGGCAGTCGTGTGCTCCTCCAAACTCTCACCGAGGCTGTCTCACCTCCTGGCTTCTGGTGGCCATCCAGGAAATCCCAAAGTCCAAATCTTGCTTCAGACAAGAACCAACCAGTACCTCAGATTCTCAACAGGAAGTGAAACAGTAGGCAGTCAACTGGGAAAGGATGGGGAAACTTCCCCAGCCAGAAAAGTGGCAGACTCCTGGCTTGACTGAGAAAAACCTCCCGGGTACATAATTTGAAGGAATTGTTCAAAGTGGTACATACATTTTAAAAAAAAGTCCAACAATGGGAGAATGAGTAAATAAATAATCAAGTAACTAGCTATTGAACACCATGGAACCTAGAACTGTTGATCAGATTATTTGAAAAGAAGAATCCCATGGCAGTTGCATGGAATGCAGCCAGCCACTGTGTCCCCAACTTTGCTGTGGACGGTAGGCCTTTGCCCATGGACTCTCCCACCCAATTCAAAAGTGGCATCACAGACAATGGTTAGTTTATTTACTGTAAGGATGGTCCTTACCACAGATAAAATCTTGGGGTACACACCTTCTTGTGAAAAAGCACCAAAACAAGCCAATAGAAATCCTGGATTGAAGTGGTGAGGGTTGGGGGGGGGGGGGTCTACGCAGCTTCACCCCTTCCCCAGGCAGGGCCAGTGTCTTTTCTCAGCTAGTGCTCAGCTCTGGGGTGGGAAGGACATTCTGCAGGAGCCCACAGTGGCCCATGCTGGGGGACTTGAGGGCTTGTACCCAGGTTCCTCAGACCCCTTATGCAGTACCTTTTGCTCTGAGCACTCTTCCTCTGGCCTTTCCCATGCCCCCCCTCTCCTGATGACTGCTGCACCCCGATTGATGGGGGCATCCACATCCAGCACCATTTTCTAGGACCAGACCCTGAGACAGGCTGACGGACTCACCTCCCTCCCAGCGGCCTCACAAGACAGCAGCTCTTTGGGGATACAGCCCTGGGGCTGTCAAGGACTCAGGCTGAAGCCTCAGAAAGTTCCACAGGCCCTGGCCTCAACGCTGACCAGCTGGGCTCCTGCAAACAGAGCCCCCCAGGACCCTGGCTTGGGCTATGCAGAGGACTGTGAGCAACGCACCGGTGACATCAGATGGCCATGGAAGGTCACCTGGGAGATGCTGCTGGCCCCACAGTGTTGGCTTCCCGGGGACAGAGGTAGAGGGATTTTACTAAGCACACAAAGTGGCATTGGGAGCTCTTCCTGTGGCTCAGGATACCCTTGGAGACTCAAAGGCAGGACAAAGGCGTGAGACACCTGCTCACTGGGAAGCCAGCCCATCCCCAAGCCCTCCCTTGGGTCGGCAGATGGTCATGGGGGTGGGGCTGCTAGACAGAGGTGAGAAGAGGGCCCGAAGCGTCCCTGAGAAGGGCGTCTCAGGGAAGGCATACAGGAGTGACCCATCGGTGGCGCTGTAGAATGCCAGGTGCCCGGCCTCGTAGTCCAGAAAGATGCCTACACGCCGGGGTGGGTCTCGAAGAGGGGCAAAGGCCCGCTCAGAGGAGTTGTAGAAGCCCCCCAGGAACACCAGGATCCAGAACCCATTGCCTGCAAAGAGCTCGCCCTTCTCCTTACGGTTAGCATTCTCCCTGCAGACACCCAAGGCCCAGCTGGCCCGCTCGCCCACCTCCACCTCCCAGTAGTGGCGGCCGGAGCTCAGGGGCTCCCGGCCCAGCACACAGGGCCCGGGGTCAAAGCGCTCGGGGCTGTCAGGCAGGGGCTGCCGCAGGTCCCCCCGCCGCACACTCTGCATGTCTTCCGACAGGACCAGCTCAGGGTTAGCAGTGTCCGGATCCAGCGTTATGTCCCCTGCAGACAGAGCAGTGGTCACTTCAGGCCCCTTCCGCCAGCCTGCATGAAGTCTACCCTCAAACATCCTTATAGTTGGCTAGAGTGACTGTTCTCCATCTTGTGTCTTCCTCGAAAGATCACCTAACCACTTGCAGTTGCAACTCGGAATGTTCTGGAAAGTGGTCATACACTGCCTTGCAATTCACTCTCTTGAAATTCAGGAGGAACCTGAGTCCTTTCTATGTCTACTCTTCCAATCCTCAGAGTGTTCAGCCCAGCTTTCATACTGGGCTCCCCAGGCCTGGGCCTACACAGGTGTCCTGGCACCTGATGGACCGACCTTCACTTTTCCTAAATGCACCAGGACAGCCAGCCTGGCTGGCCCTCCCTCAGCAGGCTGCCCTGACCCCTCAGCTTCTCAGCCATGAACCAGAGCCTCCGTGCCTTTCCTACCACAGGCCCTGGGATGGGCACTTCTTCCGGACCAGACCTGGCCAGCTGGGTCCCCCCCGCCCCCGCCCCCACCCCCCTTGGTATGCTGTGGCACCCACCTCGGAACCTCTGCAGAGCCTCCACCAGCCCCGGGACCCTGCACACCGTCCTCATTTCCATGGGCACCACCTTAGGCGGCTGCAGCTTCACTTCCTGGACCCTGGAGAGGCAGCCAGGTGTCACACCCAGAGTGGGCCCACCCGTACCCAACCATCTTCCCTAGGGAAAGGCTGGAGTCCTACCTGCGCAGGGTGTCCATGATGTCCTGTGGGAGAGACATGTGGTGTCAGTGCCCGTCACATGGTCTTGCCCTCTACCTCCATCCGTGCTGCAGTGCCCCCCACATGGTCAGAAACTGCCCCTGCAGCCTCACCTGCTCCCATCCCATCCCGCCCACAGGCATCTTACACGGCCTCCATCAGCTGCCCTCCCTCATGTCCTCACTCAGAGCCCAACTTCCAGGTAAGGCCTCTCTGCTTAGGTGCTCCTTTCCCCCAAAATGATGCATAAGAGCATTTTATTCAGTGTCACAGGCTACTTGTAGCCCCAAAATCCACATGTTGGTGTCTTAATGACCAGGTCCTCAGAATGGGTCAGTATTGAAGACTGGGCCTTCCTAAGGAGGTGATGATATTAAAACCAGAGGCCCGGTGCATGAAATTCGTGCATTGGCGGGGGGGATGGAGGAGTGGTGGTGGTGGTGGTGGTGTGGTGGTGGTGTCCCTCAGCCCAGCCTGCACCCTCTCCAATCTGGGATCCCTCTCACAATCCAGGACTGCTGGCTCCCAACCGCTCGCCTGCCTGCCTGCCTGCCTGCCCCTAACCACTTCTGCCTGCCAGCCTGATCACCCCCTAACCACTCCCCTGCCAGCCTGCTCCCCTGCTGGCCCAATTGCCCCTAACTGCCCTCCCCTGCCGGCCTGGTCGCCCCTAACCGTTCTCCCCTGCAGGTCTGGTCCCCCCCCCCCAACTGCCTCCCCTACAGGCCTGGTTCCCCCGCAACTGTCCTCCCCTGCTGGCCTGACTGCCCACAACTGCCCTCCCCTGCCGGACATCTTATGTCCACATGGGGGTGGCCATCTTGTGTATTGGGAGTGATGGTCAATTTGCATATTACCTCTTTATTAGATAGGATGAGGTCACCAGGGTGGACCCTAATCCTATATGGCTGGTGTCCTTACAGGAAAAGGAAATTAGGACACAGGTGTACACTGAGGCAGAGAAGTCTCAGGAGAACCAGCCCTGCCCACACCTGGATCTCAGGCTCCAGGACTGGGGGAAATAAACGTCTGTTACTTAAGCCACCTGTGTCATTTGTTACACAGCCTGAGCTGACAGAGACAATCTGTTATGCTCCTGACAGTAAACAGCTTGTCTTTTTAGAACACTGCCTAGCACACAGCAGGGACCCAGCCCACTTTGTCAATCAAATGAACCCCACAAGCAGTCCTTCTAACCATACTGTGTACCACCTACCAGGCCATAAAGGATGAAGAGGGAAAGTAAGATATTGTGCCCAGCGTGGGTTTCCTTAGGGGCAGGAAATTTCACACACAGTAGTTGATTCTCTCTGGGGAGCCTGGGGACCTGCTAGGCCTCTAAAGAAAAGGGAGACTAGTGGGTTTCTGAAACCTGAGGATTCATCAGGAGAAACAGAGACAGTGCAGGCCTGGGAGAGGGCCAGCATGCAAAGGGCCAGGTGCAAAGCAGTTACAAACAGCCGTCCTTACTTGTTTTACGGGGTAAGGGGAAGTGGGGGAGGGGATAGTCTTGGTTGTCACAAGGTCTGGAGCTGCCCTAACCACTTAGGAGAGGGATGGAGAAAGGGCCCCTGCCCAGGGGTGGGGAGGGGGCCTGAACCTTGAAGGAAGTTGACCTCTGTAGAGATGACCTGGCCACTCTGGGCAGTGGGGACTAGATACACACCCCTTTAGGAAAATGCTCTGTACCCACAGAGGGTGGTTACGGGGGAATCCTGGAGGGGCACCCAGGACCCCAAACTCTGGTGTAGCTGGGGCCCTGGGATAAGTCACTCAGAGTTCTGCTTCTTCCGTTTCCAATGGGGCTCCCGGACAGGTACCAACAGCAGTTCTCAGTGGGGTTTGGGATTCATATCTATTCCCCAGACAGTGGCATGTCCATAAGGCCCTCACCAGTCCCAGTCCTCACCCCAGTATTTCACAGGTAGGACACAGGACATCCAGAAGAGGACAAGCTCAGAGAGCTTGCTCCACCGAGGGCTTCCTTCCTGCTCCCGGGTCTGCACCCCTTCCCATTAGAGCCCCTGTGTGCCCATTCCAGGCATGTGCTCACCTGCAGCAGTCCCAACGCCGGCAGCTGGCAGCGCCCCTCCAGCTCAGCGACAAGATCGGCCAGCTGAGCACTCTGTTGCCCAAGGCGGACAGCGCTCTCCTGCAGCGGGGGCAGCACCTCCAGCTCCTCCTCCTCCAGCCTCTGCAGAAGCCGTTGCTCTTCTTCTGCCAGCAGGCGGCGCAGCCGCTCAAACTCTGCACGCACATTCTGCCGCTGGCTCTCCACCATTTTCTGTAGGGGGCATAGGGGGGACAGTGAGCTGGGCACCACAAACCCACCACCAGGGCTCCACACACCACCCATCCCCCACCCAAACTCACCCCGGGGGTTGAGGGTCTGGAGCAGGAGTGCTGCGTTATGAGGAGCGTTAGTGTGAACAGCGGCATCCAGCAGTGGGGGCACCAATGCCCCACCTCCCCACCCCTGGGACCTCAGCGCCCAGCCACCTGCCTGCC